CCGGTGGTAATCCGCTTGCTCTAAATGCCCCAAACCCTGGTATACGGTTTCGAAATAACGCTGGATTATCACCACTTTTGAGAGTGAAAAATGCCGGTAATGCCCAGCCGCCAGGTCTTTTGTTCGGAATACGGTCTTTTGTTACAGGGCCCTGTTTCCTTTGTCCGAGTTCGGAGACCCCGGCCACACATATAAACCATAAGGCTCCAATTTCGGAGTCCCCGGCTGGTAGTGGTTAAAGCAGGCAAATCCTTGATGGGCATTTTGCAAATTCACTTTCATATCTAGAGGGAAAAAAGAGAATTCTTTTAAACCTTAAAATAAACGTAAAATCAACTATAACTCTGCAGAGACTAAACAAGATAGTAAATTTTACCGTTTTGGGTAAGTTGTTCATGATTTCCACGTCAGCCATATTGAATCCAACCACAGTTGGTTGGAGAATGCAAGTAACAACTAGATCAAACAAGCTATCTTGCCAAATGGACTTGGGAATAACCTGCAAATAAAAGAAGCAATAGAAATATTCTCATGGACCGATTAACAATTTCAGGACTGCAATTTCAAACTATCTTCTCTGGAATATGAAAAACATTTTCCAAAATGTCATTAACAAATTAATGTTAGCATGATGGTGATAAAACTGGGTGGATAGTATCACGTTTTGTATATATCTCAAGAGCATGTATTACTAGTTCGCAACAACAAGGTGCATGTCACATTTTGAAATTAATGTTTTCATAAATCTTTCTAGAGGAAATTTCACGATCCAAAAATTTGTTCTACCTTAGCAGCCTTTGATGTACATGTAAATACCGAAACAATACTTACCTTGACAGCGTCACTAGCATAGTTCTCTAAAAGCACAGTCAAGAAATCCCACAGTCTGACAATCACTGTGCACTTCTCTTGGTTATACTCCTCAGACTCTCTGGGAGTAAAGACTTGGTGAAAGGCAGAAGTCTTAGACCCACCATACTCAATACCACGAGCAGCTCCAGTAATGTCAAGGAGACTCAAGCTGGATAAGAAGTATTGAAGTGACTGGAAGAGAACTGAGGGTCTTCTTGCTGTAGCTTAAAGGACAGAAAAGGAAACTGGCGATAAAACAGTTAAGGACTTACAAGTGTTCAGGGGCTACATAAACCAAATGAAAGATCATTGTTTTGCTAGCCTCTTTGGCTGAAAAAGCACCTAAACTACATAACTCAATGGATGAGAAGACTTCAAAAGTGGGCATTACTCCCTAACCATCCTGGTTAAATACCGGGTATTGACTTGATAGAAGCTTCGCTTGATCAATGACCGAAGTATTATCCCTCAAACACAAAACTGGGCACTACTCCCTGACCATCCTTGTTAAATACTTTCTTTTGATGGTGATAGAAGCTTCTCTTGATCAATGACTGAAGTATTATCGCTCAAACACAAAACTGGGCACTACACCCTGACCATTGCTATTAAATACTTACATATGTATACAGTTGGTGATGACAGAAATTTCACTTCAGTGGCTAAGGTATAAATCCTCTAACCCAGAAATAGGTACTACGCCCCAACAATCATTGTTAAATAAGCACCTGTACATGTACATACAACTGGTGGTGACAGAAGCTTCTCTTCATCTTATTATCCCTCAACCAAGAAATGGGCCCCACTCCCCAACCATCTTTGTTAAATACTCACCTGTATATACGGTTGATTGTGACAGAACTTCCCTTCATCTAATTATCCCTCATCCAAGAAGTGGGCCCTACTCCCCAACCATCTTTGTTAAATACTCACCTGTATATACGGTTGATTGTGACAGAACCTCTCTTCATCTAATTATCCCTTCACCCAAGAAATGGGCCCTACTCCCACAATACTTGTTAAATATTCAAATGTTTATAAAGTTTATGGTGACAGAGCTTCCCTTCATCTAATTATCCCTCCACCCAAGAAATGAGCCCTACTCCCCAACCACTCCTGTTAATTACTCACCTGTATATACAACTGATGGTGACAGAAGCTTCCCTTCATCTAATTATCCCTCCACCCAAGAAATTAGCCCTACTCCCCAACCATTCTTGTTAATTACTCACCTGTATATACAACTGATGGTGACTGAGGCTTCTCTTTACCTAATTATCCCTCCAACCAAGAAATGAGCTCTACTCCCCAACCATTCTTGTTAAATACTCACCTGTATATACAACTGATGGTGACAGAAGTTTCTCTCCAAAGACCCATGTGTAACAGTCCAGAGCTGCCAGAAGATGGTCAAACCAAGAACAAGCAAGTTTGACAGAGAAAGGCTGACCCATGGTAGACAGGGTGGGATATTTGCTGATACCACTACGGCTTGCTGCTTTCACTCCACCACCTTCAAATCTGAAATAGGACACAAGCAAGAACTGAGGTAAAGAAACAATGCCCCGACTGCAAGTATACACGCTTGAAATGTGGGGATGTTAAAAACAGGCAGCAATCCTTCTGCCTAGACTGTAGGCCTGATCTTACTAGCATTTGAGGCTTCTCAGACTCTTGGTTACCATGTTCTTGTGATAAGTCACATCCCTACAGTCTGAGTGACTACAGGAAATACATGTAAACATGAACTCATCTCACATTATAAGACATCACACCTGAGCTCATCAAGGAAAGGACTTTTGTTTGATAAATGGTTTGTCTCTGGCATGAATCAAGAAACAAAATGCAATTTTTCAGACAACACTTCTTGTCAAATGTAAAACAAATGCCACTCTCACTACAAGAAATTCATTGAAACTGTGAACATTCTCAAGACACAATCTCTACTAGAAGTAACAGGACTTTACCTAGATACAAAATAGTCTGGCCCTTTTTCTTTCAGCGTGTTCTGCATCCATGTCTGCGGTGTATTGTGACCTGAATAAAATATTTGAAATCTTCTTAAAACAAGGAAATTTGGCTATTTCAGTTTTACACTTGTTTTTTTAAATGTTTTTGCCAGTACTGATGTAAATACTTTACTTATGCTTCAAAGACTATACAACAAATTTTTTCCCATATAAAAGAACTCTATCAACAAAAATGGGTAGCACTTACAGACTGACTGAACAACATAAATACTGCAGGAGCTTTCATAGAAACAGTGTATTTCATCAGAAAAAATGAGTAGGGGCACCTACAAGTATGGTGCCAATTTTAGTACTGTTTGACAGCAGTGTACAAACAAATGCTAGAGATGTGGGGATTAATTCTTACAGAGTGAAAAAAGCTACTGTCTCTATTAAGTCCCTAATTTAAAGATTTGAAAAATACTACACAAAAACATGCCACAAGTTGTCCCGTCTCTCATGTTCCGGTACATATTCCAGTACCTGGCAGTAGAGGAGTAATCTTGTAGATAAGTATCATGCACTGATGTCTGCATTCTGTTTGGGCACGCCCACATTGACGAAGCAACCAGATAACAAGCATGCTGAGTGTAGGACAAACACCTGCAGGAAACTCCCTGTAATGGGAGACGTAGCTTGATTAGGGACAGATGTCTTAACGGGAAGTATACAGTATATGCAACGTCCAGATAAATACATGAAAAGTTCAGATGCAAAAACAGATAAATTCAAATTGGTCATTGTTTGTAAAAGATGGCTTTTGTTGTTGCTTTCTGGGTCAGACCTATCAATTCTAAGTGGGGTGCTTCTGAATCTATACACGTCAAGTGAACAGAGGACAAAATTTAAAAATCTATATTTATTCAAAACATTGAAAACATGTTTTTTTATTCTATTTGTTGGCCTAAAAAACCAGACAAATCCAGGGAGCAGTTTTTTACAATCCAAAATTGGTTTGAAAGTGCATAAACAAGTTAAAAATGGCAAGCATTAAGATGGTTATTAAAGATAAATCAATCTACAGAGTTGGATCAACAATCACATTGGTGGATGGGGGGGCTGAGGGGGGCTATAGTCCCCCTCACAAATTGCTAAAAAAAGAAAAAAAAAAGAAAAGAAAAAAAAAGGAGAAAACGGAGGGGAGTGCCATAGCCGTAGTAAGTTATTTTTTATATGAATAATTTGGTTTCTTTGTCTTTTCTCTTTTTTAAAATTTATTATTGAAATTTTTACTTTAGCCCCCCCTTAAAAAATTCTGCATTCGCCTATGAATCATGTGTACGACTGGATTGTCTTGGCTTAGATTCTCAACTAGCCAACATTGAAATTGTATCCTCCTTTTTGGATTATACACTTCGGAAATAAGGATGTCGATCATACATTGCACAAAAACGCTACCCATGCTAGGACTTTGCTGGGCACTTAAATAAAAAAAATTCATATTAAATCAATCCAGGTATTGACTAGTGCATTGTTCAGACCTCAGTTGTTCTACAGACAGGAGGAATGGATGGGAATCACTGACTTCAGGATTTGCAGGTCAAGACTCTGTTGCAATCCATTCACGCATGTCAAACAAGAACAACATGTTTGGCCTATACTGTCATCAAAAATGTTATGCTGTACTTTGCTGTGCGCGGGTATGTGGAGGGAGGATAAATTGGTGCCTTGTTACTGAATGAAAAGCACAAGGGAACAATCATGAATCAATCTTGCTGGAGAGGAACGTGACACGAAGGAGGGGAATCATTGTTTGTAAATTTTAACAAAGTCATCAATGTTAGATTGGGGTCATAAGTTTAGTCACACTAATCGTATTTTGAAAGTTAAACATTAAGCAGCAAAACTATCAGTCTATACCCCATTTGAAACATTACAAAGACAGTGGAAAAGATTCAATACTTTGTTCAAATCCCAGTACTGAATCTAATAGATCAGTTTGATTATATTTCACTGGATTGGCAAAGTTTGTTTCAAGCAGTATAAAAACGGAACATATAGTTTGCTTGCTACAAGAGAAACAAGTTGCTTTAGACCTAAAGAAGATCAAATTAATACAGCTTTGACCTTCTTGGCGAATATTATTAAAATCCTTAAAATGTGATAAAACCTTGTACTCAGTGCTTTTACAGTGATGAAAACATCACATGGCCATCACTAAAACCCAATGACCATCAAGCTGAAAATGACTGATTACATTTTGAGTCTCAGCAAGCAAACTATCATTCTGAGTCTGACATTGACTGCTCAGTCCTCATCACTGCTCTCCTCAAGGTCCTGTTTACCAATGTCATGCTGACCCACATCAGCGAAGGCATCATTTATAGAAGTCGCGGACAGTGTCGGGAGCACCAATCTCATCAATCAGTTTGAGGACGTCATGTTTCTTGGCAGGCTTCACGCATTTGACCATGGGAGTGACAACTGGCTTGAATTGTCCCCACTTCCTGCCCATCTTGAGAATAGCATGCTCACAGAAGTCACTGCCATACACCTGCTTGAAGCCGACTTGATCCGAATCAATGCATAGGACCTTGGCGTCACACATCTTGAAGGATCGCTTGGACTTGCAATGGGCTGTTGCTGCTGCCTTGAAATCATGACACTTCCACTCTGTACCATACACATGTACATTATCATGTTTGGCTAGAATGGCAACGTAATCATCAGGAAGGAGAACCGTAATCTGTTTCCTGCTTGATCGTCCCAAAGACCCGATCTGCTGGCAGAAAACTGAAGCCACCATTTTACTGTCCTTGCGGTTCTGGCTTTCTCGCCAGATGTAAAGATGAGTGTCATCTTTTCCCTGTGGATTTCCTCGGCTGCGGTGATGAACCCGACCAAAAACAGAGGTAGAGCTGCCGCGAATAGAAGGTTTGTCAGATTGGGGACTTTGGCAGTACCAGATTCTTCATAATGTCAAAACAAATGGCAATGTTTGACAACCGATCTTTCTTAAAACCTGAAAAATGAAAGGACTAATAAGAAAAAAGGACAGGTTGAGTTGTATCATAAAAATACAATAACATGTGTGCCATCATTCCATTTGCAGTCTAATATCCACCATAGATATAATTCAGAAATATTTGATGGGGGCCTCACCCAAACGTGCAAGATTCAGCAAGGGAAAGGGTCCCCCCAATTTTTTTCAGAAGTACTGAAGCCCTGAAAAGCATCATAACATTGTCCACTGGTGTACAATCATCGATTTTGACCAGTCTCCCCTCCCAGTATTTAATTATACACAGGGCAAGTTTCCAGAGGAAAAACAGTCAACAAATCAGCATGGCCATGGATGTGCGAGTTCCCTTTCAAAATGTTTCAACCCCCCAATAAAAATGACCTTGCTATGCCACTGACTGCAGTCATTTATACTACTGAAATGTTTAATATAGTTACATTTAGTATGAGATTTGTGCCCAAGGGTATTATACTGGATACTGATGTATAACATACATGTACTTACCGAAAATGCTCAGGAATAAGGCCTTGCACAATGGCACTTTCTCCTTGTTTACAGTCAAACTTCCCTACATGTAGCTTTCCTCTTGTGAACATCATCTACCTTCCATCGCCTCCGCACACATTTATTGATATCCATGTAAGAAAGCAGGGTGGTATCCTGTTTAACTTTGTCTAGAGTCGCGTAAAGCTGATTATGTGCATAGGTCAGATCTTCATTGAAGAGGGAAGCTGCCATGCACACATTACGTGCAATATGTGCATTATGTGCACAGGAAATGCATTTTTTTGAGCGGGTAGAATTCCATGGATTGTTCCTCTTTTTACGCCCAACTGGTGAAATGACCACTGCCTCATCCATATCATCAAAGTCCTCCATTATATGGCCGAATTTTCGATGAAATATGCAGACATTCTAGCGCGAAGCGAGCGTGAACACGGGCGCCGCTATCATGAATCACCCGACTAATTTATGGTGCGCTGATTTGATGAATGGAGTCATTGGCTTTTGCTAAAAAAGTAGACTAGTGCATGTCGGTTTCCTAAATCAAACACAGAATTCCAATGCATTTTACGTAGGACATGTCGGCATTTGCAACAGAACAGATTTAATGATCAGATAGAGGGCGCCACACACTATACAATGGTCGTCATGGTTTGTTTTCAGAAAGAATGGTGTTTGTCAGTTTATGCGCATGAACTCTTCACATGTAGCATAGTTAGAGACAGATGAATGTCTGCAAAAACCCCCTGGAATAAGAGATGACACCAACCTACGTGTATCGGTAGGATTTTTCAGCAATACCTTTATTTTCATGTGTAAGAGTACATGTGTGTACCATAGGTTACTTTTCTGTGATGAACTTTGCCACATTTAGACATCTGCATGAAGTGGGCAGGTACATAATATATGGGAAACATTACAATGTACAACAATGGCTATATGGATGAATGTACTTGAATAAATACTTGCCTGCATGTATCTAAACAAATAGAACATTTTCATTTGTAGTCAGCTTGCACACAATTACATGTAAAAAATTAATGTTTGATTGACAATTTGATACAGTATGGGAAAGGATTAACATAGTTACAATGAAAATTTGCAGGAGGTTCAATGGTTAAGGATCAAAGAAGACTGAAATGTGAAGGATTATTATTTTATCCAGAAACAGATACTTTAATAAGTAAAACATTGCAAGACTGTCCCCTAAAAAGACAGAAGAACTTTTTAATATTCACACAACTAAAATAAAATACATGTAATTGGTAACATTTGGATAATGAAAAAGACTACAGAACAGTAGAGAACTGGAATCCAGTGGACACTATGGACACAACTGGAAGGCCTGGACTCTGCAGATGACCTGGCACTATTGTACCACAGCCATAAAAAAATGTAAGAAGAGATATCAACACTGGTTGACAACTCCTCACAGGTTAGTCTTAACATCCAAAGGGGGAAAACAAAAATCCTGAACGTTAACAGTACCAGCACCGAACCAGTGGCACTCAACGGGCACCCACTGGAGAAAGTTGAGTCTTCCACCTATCTGGGAAGCATCACGGACAGGTTGGGTGGCACTGAAGCAGATGTTAAGGCAAGGACTGGCAAATGAAAGCAACATTAGCATTCATCCAGCTCAAAAACATCTGGAATTCCAAAGAAATATTCCAGCAAACGAAAAATCAAGCTTTTTCACTCAAATGTGAAGTCTGTGCTGTTTTACGGTGCTGAGACATGCAGGATGACAAAAAAAACCATAAACAAGGTCTAGATATTCATCAACAGTTGCCTGAGATGAATCCTCAAAATCTACTGGCCAGGAAAGATCAGCAACACTGACTTATGGAAGAGAACGCAACAATTGCGAGCAGAAAAGAAAATAGGGAAAAAAAGAAGAGCTTGGATTGGGCACACACTGAGAAAACCAGTATCAAGTACTGCCAGACAGGTCCTGATGTGAAATCCCCAAAGAGAGAGGAAAAAGAGCCAAGGTGAGAAACACCTGGTGATGGGAACTCCGGTCAGATACCACAAAGATGGGTCTCACATGGAGACAGATGGAGGTGAAAGCACAAAAATGAGGGCTTTGGAGGACTCTTGTGGGCAGCCTACACTCAAGAAGGGGTAATGGGCATAACTAATCAACTAACCTTGTAATACGCAAAGGAGAGTTTTGTGACTCCTACCTTGGAATTCGTCGGATCTTACTCTCTTTGTTCAGCATATCTGCCTTGACTCTGATGATTCTTTCAAGATGATTCAAGACTTCCACACCGTGCAGTTGAGTTCCTACATTTGAAAGTAAATATGATAAAAATTTCACGAAATCTGTGATTTGATTTGACTCTGAAATATTTGCAACAATCTCCACCCTTAAAAAATACCAAAATAAGTATATTAAAGTATCAATGTAAAGTGATTTTGTACGTTTCCCTCTGTTATTATTTACATTGTAGAAAATAAGATATTTACCTCAATTCCCAAAATACAAGGAAATGATATAGAATGATGATTTATTCATTCAATGAACCTTTATTTATACAATTTCTCCTCGATGGAACATAAAACCCAATGTCAATGAACAATAGCTAGGCTGTAATATCTCCAACTTGGCATATAGATTTCAGGTACTTTGAAATCACTGTTAAGCATAACAGGTCTTAATGTAGTATGAAGCTTACCAAGTGATTTGTCATCGTGGTGAGCCAACGCCAAGCTGTTCACGAAAGTAACCAGGATTTCACAGACAAACTGATCAATCAAAGAATCTTCCTCACTACAAATGAAAAATTAATAACTTGATATTATGATTCACATGACATTGACTCAGATCAAGTCAATATTATTATGTTGTGATTTCATGGGTGTGGCTCAAGAAATATTTGAAACAAATTCCACTTCAGGAACACATTTAGTCTGCAGGTTATGCACTGCTAGCATCTCCATAGTGTCTCAGAGGCTGTTTTTGTTATTCAAATTTAGTTTCAAAGAATGCACAAAAGGTTTACCAGAGTCTATCCCAGTGATACCAAAGTTTTGACCTCTGAGGATGCATAAACCTCTATTAAAAGGACCTTATATTGTTCCTCTGACCCAATACATAAACACCGTCACAAACATTCTTTGTCATTTTCTGCCACATTTTCTTTCCCTAATTTAAAGATCGCTGACACTTTCTGACAACATTCATTTTAGCATATTGAAACTATTTGCATTGCAATCACACCCTTCTGTTTCATTACACTATTTCCTTCATCATTTTATCACTATGGTACAATTAGTGGAAATTGATGCTGTTATTTGGAAAGAGTTCTATACATAGATATCACCCGACACTGTGCACAAACCCTTTGCAACTGGTCTGACTAGATTCTAAGTATTTTTAAGCAAACATTTAAATATTTCCCTGCTAAATTTGAAATTTTTGGACGTTGATCCTTTTTGATGGCTGACATGTCAGGGAACAATTACTGATGTATACCATGTATACCTTCTTATTATTAGGACCTTGGCGTGACCATGCCATTGTATCTCCGTGATGAATAATGAAATGAAAATAATACAGTTCTGCTCTTTGTTACTTACCGAAATACCGTGTATATATGGTTGAAAGTCAGCGCAGCACCAAGTCTCTTGAAACTGCTTGGATGTAATGCCATGCTATACAGACGCTTCAGAAGGGACTTTGTATTAATGGGGCTCTTTTCTTGTTGCTGGAAAAATTGGTAAACCATTATTTTTCAAGATGTATTTTTTGTGTTGGGGAGATGTTAATTTATATAACAGGTCTTGTCCTTACCCAACGTATATTAATAAGCACTGTATGCTCAGTGATTGTCCGAGAGCCTGCGAAAAACCTCACAAGCTTACTTGGCTGGGAATCGAACCCACGACCTCCTGCTTACTAGTGCAGATGTCTCAACCACTCGACCACCGAGCTTGCTGGGGTCGGCTGGCCGGTCCCAGTCAAGTGAAGCAGCGGGTACCGCGAACTATATTCAAGATGTATTTTTGCGCTGGGGAGATGTTAATTTATATAATGGGTGTTGCCCTTACCCCCAGCAAGCTCGGTGGTCGGG